TCTGTGATTGTGGGTTTAGTAGGTTCTGTGATTGTGGGTTAGTAGGTTCTGTGATTGTGGGTTTAGTAGGTTCTGTGATTGTGGGTTTAGTAGGTTCTGTGATTGTGGGTTTAGTAGGTTCTGTGATTGTGGGTTTAGTAGGTTCTGTGATTGTGGGTTTAGTAGGTTCTGTGATTGTGGGTTTAGTAGGTTCTGTGATTGTGGGTTTAGTAGGTTCTGTGATTGTGGGTTTAGTAGGTTCTGTGATTGTGGGTTTAGTAGGTTCTGTGATTGTGGGTTTAGTAGGTTCTGTGATTGTGGGTTTAGTAGGTTCTGTGATTGTGGGTTTAGTAGGTTCTGTGATTGTGGGTTTAGTAGGTTCTGTGATTGTGGGTTTAGTAGGTTCTGTGATTGTGGGTTTAGTAGGTTCAACGGGTACTGTAGGTACTGTTATTGTTTTAGTAGGTACTGTAGGTTTAGTAGGTTCTGTGATTGTGGGTTTAGTAGGTTCTGTGATTGTGGGTTTAGTAGGTTCTGTGATTGTGGGTTTAGTAGGTTCTGTGATTGTGGGTTTAGTAGGTTCTGTGATTGTGGGTTTAGTAGGTTCTACGGGTACTGTAGGTACTGTTATTGTTTTAGTAGGTACTGTAGGTTTAGTAGGTTCTGTGATTGTGGGTTTAGTAGGTTCTGTGATTGTGGGTTTAGTAGGTTCTGTGATTGTGGGTTTAGTAGGTTCTGTGATTGTGGGTTTAGTAGGTTCAACGGGTACTGTAGGTACTGTTATTGTTTTAGTAGGTACTGTAGTTTTAGTAGGTTCTGTGATTGTGGGTTTAGTAGGTTCTGTGATTGTGGGTTTAGTAGGTTCTGTGATTGTGGGTTTAGTAGGTTCTGTGATTGTGGGTTTAGTAGGTTCTGTGATTGTGGGTTTAGTAGGTTCAACGGGTACTGTAGGTACTGTTATTGTTTTAGTAGGTACTGTAGGTTTAGTAGGTTCTGTGATTGTGGGTTTAGTAGGTTCTGTGATTGTGGGTTTAGTAGGTTCTGTGATTGTGGGTTTAGTAGGTTCTGTGATTGTGGGTTTAGTAGGTTCTGTGATTGTGGGTTTAGTAGGTTCTGTGATTGTGGGTTTAGTAGGTTCTGTGATTGTGGGTTTAGTAGGTTCTGTGATTGTGGGTTTAGTAGGTTCTGTGATTGTGGGTTTAGTAGGTTCTGTGATTGTGGGTTTAGTAGGTTCTGTGATTGTGGGTTTAGTAGGTTCTGTGATTGTGGGTTTAGTAGGTTCTGTGATTGTGGGTTTAGTAGGTTCTGTGATTGTGGGTTTAGTAGGTTCTGTGATTGTGGGTTTAGTAGGTTCTGTGATTGTGGGTTTAGTAGGTTCTGTGATTGTGGGTTTAGTAGGTTCTGTGATTGTGGGTT